GCTGGCCACTTTGACTAACTTGTGAATCAGCAGTGTAGTCCTACTAGGTTTTGACTAGATTGTCCAAAGTCTCATGTTTCTGGAGAACCTGACAGGTAATAGGACTGTTTTTTAAAGAAAATAATGATGGACTGTGCCGTTTCCGGAGTCAGTCCACCCAAACCAACCTCCTTCCATCACGTCGATTCTGACTCATCGTGATCCTGCCGAAGAACTTGCTCCTTAGTAGACGTGGACAGCTTCATCTTTCTCCCAAGGACGAGCAGCCTTAACAGACTCATTAATGATTAGAGTACTTTGTGACACAATAAATGACCACTGCTTTGTGGCACTAACTCAGGTGAAATGGTACTGGTTATAGTAATATTATTACTGGAAACACTCAAGAAACAGTGTCACATTTTGAGATTTAATGCATGTATTCATATGTTTAACCTTATCACAATTGAAAGAAAATCATACCATAAATGATAAAGCATTTTTAAAAGCAGAAAGCACACTGCAAATCCCTAATACTAATCAGGTGATCCAGTTCTGACTGAATGTCTACCAGATATTGTGCCAGTGAATCGATTCATTTTTAATGAATCTGCTTGTTCCAAAAAGGGAGCATTTGAACTTAAAATTATATAATACAAAAATAAAAGGTTCAAATGTTATTCAAAACATTCATGTTTAAATTTTTTTTAATTCATGTTTTAAGCATGCAAAGCATGTTTTTTGGTTTATACTGAACTCATTCATGGATTAATATCAGGAGATTAGAATGTGGAATCAATGTTTTTAAAACAATTGCATTTTGATATCCTCCCTATAGCATATTGCTATCTTTATTAAGAACTTGCTGCATCCTGAATTAGAAACATGTTGATTGTGGATTTGAGACCTATAATACAAGAGGTTTATTATTAAATATCTTTAGTATGGTTGAGAGTTTCCTTTTCCTAGTTTCTGTCCTCAAGACTATAAACATTTTCTTAACACAAAGTAGTCACTTGCTGAGAGCATGCATGAACCCTGGCAGGTATCCTCTCAGGACCAGCAGTGGCACCTGAAACCATGCAGAACTTGAGTCAGCTTAAGACAACGTGGACATATTTGGCATGGCCTCCTTTCATGACTTTAACATGTTACTCAGTGTACTGTGGAACAGAATGCATTTAAGTCACCTCATGTGTAGATAATGCCCTGTGGTGTAATGGTTACTCATCCAGCTACTAACCGCAAAGTCCGTTGTTCAAAACTGCCAGCCACTCCTTGGGAGAAAGACAGCATTTTTACTGGCATTGAGATTTAGTCTTGAAAACTCACAGGGTCGTCACGAGTCGGCATCCACCAGATGGCAGTGAGTTGGTGAGTGTGTCTAAAGACTCGTTCCTGGAATACTGTCATTGCAGAAAGGCCAGTTGATAAATTTTTTTCATAACCTTGAGCAGTAACACGTAGATGGGATCTAAGTTTGTTTTTTTGGTTGGTTTTAGTGGTTCAGTCTTAGGACACACTTACTCTAAAAGACTGGCAGCGTGTCTGACTGGGACATAAGTGTTGAGAGTTTTGGCTGAGTACAGAACCATCTCTGCAAAGTAAACAAGAGCTGGTCTTTAGTATCATCAACACTGGTACTAATCATTCTTTTAAAACTAAAAGCCATGGCATAATGAAAAATCACTTGAGCAGACGTGAGCATGCCCAATTAATTGCACACTCCAAGGTGCTCAGTCTTGGCTGGCTTTGAGAGCAACTGTGAGGGAAGCCAAGAGGCATTTCCATTCACCATTACTGAGGAGCTAGCATGTGCCAGGCATTGATCATATTTCTTGTTGCTCATACCCTCTGAGTTTTTCAGGTCTTTCATTTTAAGGAGGCAAAAGAGAGTTTTCCATTTTTTAAACCCAAATACTTCTAACTCAAGAATTGTTTGCAACCCCCTCTATATGTACACCTTACAACTTTGACAGCGGAGACCACGCTTCAGCTGGCGCCAGTTTTTCAAGATGGGAGGAGAGGGAGATGACCATGTAGTTGCTGCCATGCAAAATTGTGCTAGGTCACTCCAACTCAACAGACACTCCTAGCAGGGCCATAAGTGAACCTTACTGGAAATTCACGTTAAGATAAAGAGTGGGGAGCCTAGAAAACAGTACCTTTCTATTGGTTGGAAAATGGGGAGGATCAGCCTTCTATGGGGAGGGGGAGACAAAAAATGCTTAACAATACTTATATAGAACCCAAGAGAAGAATATGCCTGGTACTATGTTCCTAATTACACACTTCTGACTTCGTTTCCATCTAGCCCTTGGTAACCCAGGGCATGTGCTATAGACTATTGGGACTTTAGACCCAGTGTTTTCAAGACACACAACATCCTTTCAGGCCACACTAGAAGGACTCAATGTAGAAACCCCTCTAAGTGAATGGGACTCTAGTTCAAATTCACCTGGAGCCCTTGGGTTTAGGACTGACACTTCATAGTGTGAATAGAAGCAGAAGGCTGCTATAGCGAGGGTGTAGAACTGGTAGTTGTCAGGGACTGTGACTCAGCTCTCTTATCTTGAGGGTGCCCAATGAATGGTGGCCCAGGACTACTATATACTTAGTATTTTAATGCCATCCTTGCTTTATTAAGGTATATGTTAATCTGGTAGACATGGTCCTGCCACTCTTAGTGAATATTATTGAAAGTATTGCCTTATTGCCAACCCTTATTGTTGGAATAGTGTCCAGGCTCTTAAGGGTTTAATCTGTACAAGTCAATAATCTGTGTGTTGCAGCCAGTTTATACTTGTATAATCTCCTTTTCTCAACTGTGATTTAAATTCTATACCACTGGTTAAATTAATAACACCATCAATAGAATTACCGTATGCCCCAGGGAGATGATTGAAAATGCTCTCTAACATAAAACAACAATGATGTCTCTAAGATGAACCAGAAACATATAAACAGTGGATACATGAATGGATTTTAGGTTCCCACTTAATTCTAGCCCTGATCTAAGAAAAATTGGTTCTTATGACTTAGCCCTGCATGATGTTTGCCCCAATGAAGAGATCATTAAAGATAAGGGTGCTATAGCAAAGTGTTGTGAAGAAACTAAATGGTGCCCAGAGATCAGAAAGTATAGCGTCTGAGGTCTTAAAGGCTGGTCTTCAAACAAGAGAATTTTTAGAAGAAGCGCCAGCCTTTGTGATCCAAGGATTGTAAATGTAATCCAAATTCGAAGGAGGGAATGCTATCAGAGCTTAAATTGTAAACACCTGGCTTACAGAAGTCAATGGGTGACAGTGGAAGCATAAAATCCATAGATTAAGCTTTCAGTGAATTCCTTCTGA